CGGCTGCTACCGGACCTGACGCGGACACCTGAGCAGACGCAGCTACCTGAGGAGGCTTAGTAGTCAGTGTGTACAAACTCGACCGAGGCTGACGGGTGAACGTGGCCAGGTGACAGCCCGTCCGTGTACACGTGCAGATTGACACACGCTGACCCCCAAGAGTGGTGGTAGTGACCATCGCATCCTCGAGGGCAGCGGTACTCTCCAAGTTCGTAGAGAACGAGGGGAGGTGAAGACCTGAGAGTGAGCCGGACGGAACCGCCGGACACGGGAGAACAGTGGAGGAACGGGCAAGAACTGGGCCCCCAGAGGGGTCAGCCAGTATGAGTGGAGCAAGTGCAGGGAGTGGAGTGAGGGTGGTACTGTCGCGAAAGAAACAGTGGAAAGCACCTAAGTCAAGTATGAAGGTGTGCAAGGCCTCAGCAGGCGCAGTACCAGGGAGAGCAGACTCACTAGCACCTAGAGCAGCAGCCTCTATACCTGGGTCGGGCGGCACACACAGGTAATAGTCACCCTCAGCACTAACAGACAAGGCATACATGGCAGCGAGGATAGCATCATAGTCAAGAGCAAAGATATCAACTCCAGATCTAAGTAGCTCTAGCCAGTGGGGGCGCTCAGCCTCGTCGCCAAACTCTACGTGCCAAGCGTCGTCAAGGCGGGAGAAGGAGCGGTGCTGTGTGTGAAACTTTCCGCATGTCTGACCAGCACGGTCACCTGTGCGAATAACATACGGGCAGCAAACACTACCCGTAGACGCCCAACGCTGAGCAAACCACTCACGAAGCTGCTGAGGCGTAGGGGTCTCACTATGACGCTGCTGCTGATGCTGCTGCTGCCTCTGGCCACCGCCAGAACCTCCCCTCTGAGCACCTCCTCCCCGACCGCCACCACTGCCGCCTCTTCGACTCCCAGTGCTGCCACCACCGCCACCCCCACCCCCACCGCTGCCACCACCGCCACCACCGAAGCCCCCACTCCCACCCCTACTCCCACCGCTGCCACCACCTCCGATACCTCCACCGCCTCCACTGCCTCCACCACCACCACCCCCGCTGCCACCGCCGCCACTTTTGCCACCCTTGCCCTTGCTGCTGCGGCGCTTCCCACTAAGTGCAGAAGCAGTCCCGACATCTTCAGTACCAAGGATGTCAACAGCAGCAGCAGAAGTGTAGGAGGGGCCAAGGGGGGAGGGGGAACACCCCTCAAAGAAGGGTGTGCGAGGAGTGCCACGAGCAGCACCTACAGCGACTACGCAAGTCTCAGCTGCAAGGAGGTGCTTCTCGAGCAGGTTGACAGTGAGGTCTGTGGGGTCAAGTGCGAGAAAGTGGTCCTTGACTGCGCGAAAAGAGTCAGGGAGGCAGGTGACTACGAAGTAGAGAGTGATGTACATCGGGGGGGGGGTGGGGGGAGGGGGGGGGGGGGGGGGTTCCTGTCTAGGAACTCGGTTGGGAGGGCAGCGCGGTAGCGAGTGTCGCTAGTGCAAAGGTGGGTAACGAGGTCCTCGATTGTGGCAAAGGCTAACAGCTCGGGAAACAGGTAGGGCATTATAAGGTGGCCGAGAGTAGTAGTGGCAGGGGAAGAGTAACGAGCAACTATAGCATCGTACAGGGCCTTAGCATTCTTGTGCTGGCCAAAGTGAGCACGTTCGGCTAACGGCAGGTGGTTGCGAACGGCTAAGCGAGCAACAGCGTCATGGGTAAGCCACTGTGAGCGATTCGCACTATCAGCTATGGCGGGAGGGGCGAGAGAGGCTCCAGACGTTTGGTCAAACAACGAAATGTTGTCTCTAGAATTGCTAAGTAGGTACACCTGTAAGTCGTCGAGCAACGTATTGAACTGGATCGGACGACCCTCATGGTCAAAGGTGAGTACACTGAGAGAAGCCATAATGGGCAGAGCAGGGTGGCGCGTGACCAGAAGGGCAGCACGCAGGCAGGGCGGCGCGCGAGCACTAGGGAAGCGCTCAGGGCAGGGAGAGGCGGCGCACGGCTAGGGAAGAGTGGCGAGCGGCCAGGGCAGGGCAGGGCGGCTGCCAGCAGGGTGGCGCGTGGGCAGGGCAGGGCGGTGCGGCTGCCAACAGGGTGGCGTGCAGGCAGCAGGGCAGTGCGCGGGCAGTAGGGCGTCGGCCAGCAGGGCGGCGCACAGCAGGGCGGCGCGAGCAGGGCGGTGCGGGCAGCGGAGCGGCTGCCATCAGGGCGGCGCGCGGGCAGGAGGGTGCCGGCCAGTAGGGCTGCGCACAGCAGGGCAGGCAGCAGCATGGCGGCACGGTGGCTCAGCGCGGTGGCTCAGCGCGGGCAGGGCAGGGCGATGCGCAGGCAGGGCAAGGCAGCGCGGCTGCCAGCAATGCGGCGCGCGGGCAGCAGGGCAACGCGACGGCCAGCAGGGCGACGCGGCTGACAGGGCAGGGCGATGCGACAGCCAGTAGGGGGACGCGATAGGCAGGGCACGGCGACGCGACAGCCAGCAGGGCGACGCGACAGGCAGGGCAGGGCGACGCGACAGGCAGGGCAGAGCGACGCGACTAGTGGGGCAGCGCTATGTGGTGGGCCCTAAAAAAAACGGTCGTGGAACAGGACCTGCTCTGAAACCATGTCAGAATATTGAATGAGAATGAATGCATTGAACAGAAAGTTGGTACAAGTACTAACCCTAATTGGGTTGTACCCCTTATGGGCTACCCCACTACAGCCTACACAAAGTAAGCATTATAACATTTTAACAAGTCTGAGCACAAGCAAGCGGCCACAAGGCTAGTTCACATGCAGAGTTATAGAAACACAAGCAGTATAGTGATCACAACCTAGCAAGAGCAAGCATGCAGGTATTGTAAGAATAACTGTGTGAGAATGAATGAACTATGAATGAGTTGGGTACAAGTACTAACCCTAAAGTGTTGTACCTTTTGTAGGCTAACCCATTATAGCCTAGAGAGAACACAAAAATATAGTTTGACACACCCCCATAGGCCAAGTGGGAGATAGCAAACACAACAGATGGTCACAAGACCAGTCAAGCAAGAGAACAAAGCAAAGCAAAGCTCAGGGTGGATCTCAAGGACACCACACAATCTGAGCACAAGCAAGCGGCCACAAGGCCAATTCACATGCAGAGTTAATGGCAAGGGAGTACACTGATCACAACCTAGCAAGAGTAAACAAGCACGTATAAAGTTATATATCACTGTACAACAAGAGCAAGTCAAGCAACCAGCAGGTGAGGCAGAGTGGGCACAAGCCCAAGAGCAGTGCAGAAACGCTGATGATCACCAGACCCAAGGGCCTTGGTGAACACATCAGCAGTGTTGGCCCGCGAGGCCACGTAGGAAAGGCGGAGCTGACGACGCTGCTGCAGCTCATGCGCAAGGAAGTAGCGAAGAGCAATGTCCTTCGTTCTGTTCTCCAGTCTCTGCTCGAGACACAAGGCAAGCATTGCCTTGTTGTCGACGTACAGAACAGGAGGAGAATGAGGCCACTACCCCAAGTCGGTTAGCAGGTAGGTCAGCCAGCGTAGCTCCTGTGCAGCCATGGCCCCAGCGTAGATCTCGGGCTGAGCTGGAACCAAGCACAGAAGAAGAACGAGTGGACCCCCACGAGACAAAACCAGAGCCAAGACTGAAGGTGTAACCCTGTGACGAACGCTGAGTCGCTTGGTCGTCGGCCCAAGAAGCGTCGGAGTGTCCTGTGAGTACCACTGAACCCTGTCCTCCAAGCACGAGCCCCATGCCCAATGTGCTCCACAACTAATGCAGTACCCTCTTCGCAGCATCCCAGTGCACCTTTCGGTGTCTACCGGGAGCCATGTAGCGAGCCAGGAGGCTGAGAGGGTACGCGAGGTCAGGTCGTGTGCACGTCATCAGGTACATGAGGCAACCCACAAGCTCTGGGTACGGACCACTCGGCTCTACGGACTCGTCCAAAGGTGGAGCTGAGAGCGAGTGGCCGGTAGACAGAGGAGTGGGCTGTGGGGAGGAGAACTGGAAGCCGAAGCGCTGAAGGACCTGGTGCACCATGTGTGACTGAGTCAGGGTGATGGTGCGCCGTGCTCTATCCTGGGTGATATGCAAGCCAAGATAGCTACGCAGCTCACCCAGGTCAGTGCAGGTGTGTCTCTCCTACACCTCCGCCTTCACTAGGGCCAGCGCCTCAGTGTCAGCAGTAGCAAAAACCAAGTCGTCGACGTACACAAGAACATAGAACGGCGGCAGGGTAGTGTCGGTGCGTAGAAACAGCGACGGATCAGTAGAGGAAGGAGCAAACCCAAGAGCCGCAAGTGTAGTCCTCAGTGTGTCGTGCCACTCTCGGGGCGCCTGGCGGAGACCGTAGACCGGCCACCGGAGGCTCTACTGGGTACCCGCAGGAAACGACCCAGTGAAGCCGGATGGGCGGCGCAGCCAGATCTCCTCGTGAAGGCTGCCCTATAGGAAAGCTATGGAGAAGTCGAGGGAGTGCAGCTCGTAGTTACACTGTGCTGCAACAAGCAGCAGCACCCGAAGAGTAGTCATCTTCAGTCCCCGAAGTGTTTCCGCCATGGGACTGCTTCCCCCGAGCTTGCCGCCATGGCGGCTTACCGTTTGCCTGGAACTCACATTGCGTGAAGCCCGATCATCAGCTGGCTTTAATTCTACCGGCTTTGTCTTCACTACACCTTTACGAAGAAGTCTATACCTATTATGTGTTCATCATACGAACATTGCGTGGACTTCTCAAGGGTGTCCTACGCTGGTCCAAGTTTCAAAGCTCAAGGCTAACGCGTGGTTCTCTAGGTTACGGCATAACATCAAGGATCCACCTAAGCTAACATTCATTGGTTACGCAGATGCTGTGCAACGGGATGATCCCGAATTTTTATCTTCAGCGTCACAACATCTATGTCAGGAAAAATTGTCTTCCACAGGCGCTCTTCACATACTTAACTCTGCTGTGCTCAGACAACAGGCTCATCAGTTTCCTCAGCTCATTTCTTCAGAGCTTTTGCCAATCTATTGTCATCATTGCACGATGCCTCCGAAAGGCTCTCGCGCTAAGGCGGTGGTTGACGCTCCTGCTGGTGGTGGTGATCCTGCAAGCAAGTCGACACCAAGCAAGGGAAAGGAGGTCATTGACAACCTTCCGTCTGAAGCGGAGGTGATGGATGGAAGTTCTGGTCTCACCATTGAGGAAAAGCTGCAAGCGCAGGCTACGGTTGCTTCGGATGACACGTTTATTGAGGATGATTCAGACGAGGAACTTGAGATTGACACGACCAAGAGTGCTCACCCGCATTTGCGCTTCACGGCGATTTTGCTCTTCCCGGTTATTCCTTCTCGCGAGGTTGCTTCGGTGATTCTGACCGTGAGGATGCTGATGAAGCGTGTCTGGTCTAACCTGCTCACTGATGATGTCCTCGCCTCGGTGAAGTTCCAGGAGCTGACCCCCGCGTGGGTCGCGAAGGCCCGTTACAGCCGGCTTCAGGTCTCCTTTCTGCATGAGTCTGACGCGGTGAAAATCAAGCAAACGGCGGTGGAACACAAGCGTCAGAACGGATCGACACTTCATTGTTTCTGGCTGCACCAGGAGGACGCCGCTTACCTTCGCAAGAAGGCTTCGGGCCCGCAGCTGCTGGAGGTCTACTTTAAGGATGTTCCCGCGGATATCCCGCCGGAGCTGGTCAAGGAGGTCATGGTTACTCACCCGCTCAGGATGCGGAAGCAGTCTGCTTTTGCTGAAGGCCACTGCTTCCACCGTGTCCTTCACCCCGTCACCGGCGCTGACACTGATCGGATCAAGGGGCTAATGGTTCAGCACGCTGGCGACAAGCATCGCTGGCGTCACGAATTTCGCCATCAGCTGCTGGGAGGGACGACACTGTTGGCCCACTACCCGCTGCTATTCTGTCCGCTCTGTGGTGGCCACCATTATGACAAGTTTCATAATGTTTTCATCACGGAGCGTCAGAATAACATAGGGAAGTGGAGTTTAACTGTGGGTCGGGTCCATAGGATCAATGGTAACCGCTGCTTACGCTTGTTGGGTCGTTGCTTTACCTTTCGTATCTTGTCAGTCACTGACGCGCCGCTTTCCCTTCGCAGCTGCTTCTCTCCACGCTTCTCCGCTTATCACTCCGTTACTGCTGGATGCGGCTTTCATGCTGATCTCCACTGGGAGCAATCGGGAGGAATGGCTGTGTACTCTCGAGAGCTGCGGAAAGACCCATGGCAAGTCCTTCATGGCTGCAGCGGATCACATCACGTCGGCAAGCCATCTGCTGGGCTTGGAGAAGTTGGGTGCGGCCACTCGCAGCTCCCTGGAGAAGCTTGGTCTGCACGTCATCCGAAAGGAGTACCAGATCTGAGCTACCTACCTGCATGTCGGAAGCAGAGTTGTGTAGCAATGGCGTTTTCCCTTGGCTGTGTAGTTGTACCTGGTTGTGCCTGCCCTTGGATGCGATGGGGCCTCAATGAAGTGGTCAAATGAATGCGAAAAGCCTTCTTTCATTTGCAGGCCTGAATGTCAACGTCCTGGGGGACGGGAATAAGCAACAGCGAACAAAAAACTGGTTGAAGCAGGCAGCGGACATCGTTATACTGTTTGACTCTAGGCTCACAGATGATCACCCTTCTTGGAATTCACTTCGACAGCCGCAGATCCTGGTCGCCTCACCCACTGCTAAGGCTGGCGGTGTTGCTCTGATCTGTCGGAGGCACGGACTGTCATTGCACAACACTCTCATTCATCCATCCGGCCGGCTGGTAGCGGCTGAACTTCATCTTGACACCTTTCACATCACCTTGGTTGCGGTTTATTTCCCGGCTGATGCTGCTGAGCGAAAGGTGTTCATTCGCAGAGTGTTGGGTCCGGTGGTTGACGCGGTGCAGCCGGGCTCTCACCTGCTCATCATGGGGGATTTCAACTTAGTGGAGGATCCGCTGCTAGATCGGACATCGAGGAAGGGAACCACGAAGGAAAATGAGGAGCTGTACCGTCGCTGTGATACCTTCCGCCTCTCAGATGCTTTTAGAGTGCTACATCCATATAAGTGGGAATTTACCTTCTACTCCTGCGCCAATCAATCCAGTTCACGTATAGACAGGGCACTTATCTCACAGTCGTTGCTGGCGCACGTCGAGTTTGTCTCGCACATCATGCCGGCTGACCCCATCTCTGACCACAGTTTCGCGGTGAAGGCGGCTTTCAGGATGAACACACGGGTGCAGTTGGGTCCTGGGCTCTGGAGGCTACCTGCATACATGTTGGACAGACCGGGAGTCAGGAAGGTGATTGAAGCTGTGGAACGGCAGGCAGACTCATGTGGGGTGGGCTTTGAGCTTCTAATCTCCCGCCTCAACACCGCTCTGCGAGTGTACGCGAAAGAGGAGTGGAAGAGAGTTCGGGCCACGATGTCCCACCTTCATCGGTCGGTTGCGGAGCTGAAGCAGGCGTGGCTGGGAGACCCGGGGTGTGCTCGACTAAAAAGCTTGCTGGCTGAAAGAGAGGTGCAGCTGAAGGGGTATCAGCTGGCTCGGCAGGAGAGGTTACACGTAATGGCACGAATGAAGGAGGAAGTCATGGGTGAAGTGGCCTCACCGCACCTGTCGGCAAAAATCAAGGCCAGAAAGGGACGGACGCAGATTACAGAGTTAAACGCAGGCGGGAAGTTGGTGAAAGACAACTGTGCTATTCTAGGGGCAGCGTCACAATACTACAGGGAGCTGTTTGGTTGTGACAGGCAGCAGGCTGAGTCCGCTTGGTCGCCTGCTCCTGGGAGGTCCTTGTCGCGGAAGTTGGCAGAAGCGGTGTGCATGGCCTGGTCGGAGGAGGAGGTGAAAAAAGCCTTCCGTTCGATGGCGAAAGACAAAGCTCCCGGGAAGGACGGGTTGCCGAAGGAGCTGTTTGAGCTTCACTGGGACATCTTGGGCAAGCATTTCATGCAGCTTGCACAGAATTTTGCAGCTACGGCGACGCTGCCGACGAGCACGAAGGACGCGGTCACCATCCTGTTACACAAGAAAGGGGGGAGAGATCAGCTTGAAAACTACAGACCGATCACGCTTCTGAGCTTCACCTACTAAGTGATTGCAAGGGTGGTAGCGGACAGGATGAAAAAGGTGCTGCACGAGGTCATTTCCCCGGAGCAGTATGGTTTCTTGCCTGGCAGGAAATTATCGGACGCAGTGGGCCTGGTCACGGATGTCATCGAAGCCGCGACAAACAAGGATCGCGACTGGTATCTCCTGCTCGTCGACTTCAGGAAAGCCTTCGACTCAGTCTCGAGAGGCTTCCTGTTCACGGTGCTTGAGCGGATGGGCTTTCCGAGCCTCTTTGTGGACTGGGTTCGGGGCCTGCACAAAGATACGCGGACCAGCTTGTTGATTAACGGCTGGATGGGGGAAGCGGTTGATGTGGTGTCCGGAGTGCGGCAGGGTTGTCCACTCGCACCATACCTCTTTCTATGCGCGGTGGAACCGCTGGCTCAATAGGCGGCTGCCAGGAACCTTGGCCTCGAAAGGGGAAACCGGCGGCTGGCGTATCTGGGTTTTGGCGACGACACGACCCTGATCCTGCAAGGAGAAGAGCAGATCGCGGAAGCAGAACGGCTGTTAGCGGACTTCGAAGCGGAGTCGGGACTGGCAACAAATAAGGAGAAGTCATCCATTCTACCTCTGGGGCGAAACCTGAACAAGCAGGCCTGTAAGACGGATGGTTTCAAATGGGTAAAGGCCGACGAAGCGGAGAGACTCCTGGGAGTGTGGGTGACGCCGGCTGGTAGCTGCACCCCCACCTGGGAAAAAGCTTTCGCACGGATCAAGGAAAAACTGAGACAATGGGAGACGCAGCATCTCACAACGGGTGCCAGAGTAGCGGTAATCAACTGCTATATCTCACCAATCATTTTCTTCCAGGCGCAGGTGTATCCGCCGCCGGTGGACATTTGGGGGAGAATCTTAAAGCTGGTGCACAACTTCGTATCAGGCAACCACGTGGTCACCAACAAAAAATTCATATTGTGGAGTCGGGAGCTACTGTACATGGCAAGAGGAGACGGCGGTGTGGGGGTGCGAGATCCAGAAATAGAGCTCACCTTCCTCGCAGCCAGACGCATCGGGCTGCTGCTCACGAAGACGTGCGAACTGAAGCGAGACATCATGCTGGAAGCGGCTGACTGTGAGAGAATTGAGGAATGAATGATTGAACTAGAAACAAGGTGGGTACAAGTAGAGAACACAAAAGTGTTGTACCCTCTAGGAACTACCCCACTACAGCCTAAACAGACTATAGCAGATATAAGTTTGACACACCCCCATAGGCAAAGCGGGGGAGAACAAGAGGTCACAAGACCAGTCAAGAAAGACAAAGCAAGCTCAGGGTGGATCACAAAGTCACCACGCAGTCTGAGCACAAGCAAAGGGCCACAAGACCAGTTCACATGCAGAGTTATATAAAGGAAAGCAAACAATACAGTGAACACAACCTAGCAAGTATAAGCATGCAGGTATATGTACAAAGAGTACAGTACAGGCAGAGTCAAGAAGAAAGCAAGTGAGGCACAGTAGGTACAAGGCCTAACACAGTACAGAAGCGCTGATGATCACAAGGCTGAAGTGCCTTGGTGAAAACATCAGCAGTGTTGGCCTGAGAGGCCACGTAAGCTAGACGAAGCTAGCCACGCTGCTGCAACTCTCGAGCAAGGAAGTAGCGCAGAGCAATGTGCTTCGTTCTGTGCTCCAGTCTGTGCTCCTGACACAAGGCCAGCATGGCCTTGTTGTCGACGTACAGAACTGGAGGAGAACGAGGCGCCTCTCCCAAGTCGGTCAGCAGGTAGGTGAGCCAGCGTAGCTCCTGAGCAGCCATGGCCCCAGCGTAGATCTCAGCCTCACAACTGGAGCTGAGAAGAGAAGAAGAGCGGGTAGACCGCCAAGAGACAGAACCGGAGCAAAGGCTGAAGGTGTAACCCTGTGACGACCTCTGCGTAGCCAAGTCGTCAACCCAGGAGGCGTCAGCGTGACCAGTGAGGACAACTCGAGCCCGTCCTCCAAGCACGAGCCCCATGCCCGATGTACTGCACAAGTATCGCAACACCCTCTTTGCAGCATCCCAGTGCACCTTTCGGTGCCTGCCGGGAGCCACGTAGCGAGCCAGAAGGCTGAGAGGGTATGCGAGGTCAGGTCGTGTGCAAGTCATCAGGTATATAAGGCAGCCCACAAGCTCTGGATACGGGCCACTCGGCTCTACGGACTCGTCCGAAGGTGGAGCTGAGAGCGAGTGATCGGTAGGCAGAGGAGTAGACTGTGGCGAGGAGTACGTGAAGCCGAAGCGCTGAAGGACCTGCTGCACCATGTGTGACTGAGTCAAGGTAATGGTGCGCTGTGCTCTGTCCCGGGTGATCCGCAAGCCAAGATGTCTTGTCAGCTCACCCAGGTCTGTGCACGTGTGTCTCTTCTGCAGCTCGGACTTCACGTGGGCGAGTGCCTCCGTGTCAGCAGTAGCAAAGACGAGGTAGTCTACGTACACGAGAACGTAGAACGGCGGCAGAGTAGCGTCAGTGCGTAGAAACAGAGAAGGGTCAGCAGTGGAAGGAGCAAAACCAAGAGAAGCAAGAGTCGTCCTGAGCGTGTCGTGCCACTCACTGGGCGCCTGGCGGAGACCGTAGACTGGCCGCCGGAGGCTCCACTGGGTACCAGCAGGAAACGACCCAGTGAAGCCAGGTGGGCGGCGCAGCCAGATCTCCTCGTGCAGGCTGCCCTGTAGGAAGGCTGTGCTGAAGTCAAGCGAGTGGAGCTCGTAGTCACGCTGAGCAGCAACGTGCAGCAGTACCCGAAGAGTGGTCATCTTCGGGGTAGGGGAGAAGGTCTGAAAGAAGTCAACTCCCTGTCGCTGACTAAAGCCACGTGCAACGTAACGCGCCTTGAAGGCAGGTGGAGAACCCGGCGGCCGCTTCACCCTGAAGATCCACATGCCACTGACGATGTTCGCCCCAGGTGGGGGAACCTCGTCTACGTAGGTGCCTGTGGACTTCCAGGAAGCCATCTCTGCGTCCATGGCTGCCTGCCACTGAGAGGAGTAGGGACCCTCTATCGCCTCTGCGTAAGAGCGCGGGGTCGGGATGTCTAGTGCATCCGGGTCTGCCTCAGGGGCCAGCAGCATGGATACGAGATGAGGTACAGAAGCAGCAAAGCACTCAAACTCCTCCTGTCTGTCCTCAAGAACGTCCGTGCCAAGAGCACACTCACCCCCGACGGACGGAGGACAGACAGACACAGACGCAGCAACCAGACTAGCAGCATAGTCTAGGCGACAGGCAGCAGCAAAGTCAACAAGCTCAGTAACAAGAGCAGACGCAGCAGAGGACTCAAA